CTATTTCAGAAACTTGAAGTAATGTTTTCCAGGATGGAAACAAGTGGCGTGAATGTTGTAAACGTCCACTGTGGTTATTTAAACAAAACGCATGCATACGGAAAATATCAATAATCCGCGCAACATAAAACAGGTATATCAACCCTCTGTTTTTATATCCTCAGACCCTTGTGTCTTTTGGAATATATGTATAATTAGACGAAGTTGACAAAATCCCACAGCATTCGGGGTGTCAATGAGTGTACCTGATCGCTTTTCGACAGATGATTACTGTGTAAATACAAACAAAAATCATATATCGGTTATCACAACATCGGCAATATACAGGTAATGAAAAAATAAATGATCAAGTAATGAGGTATTGCGAATCAAATTGTGGGGCAACCCGGTTTCAGATATACATGAAGCATACATCCAGGCGGAAATGTGCGTGAAATATAAAGTGATAGTAGTATTCAAAAGACAGCGACCGAAGAAACACTGCAACGGAGGGCCGGTCATAACCCATTCAGAGACGAAGCTCAGTCACGTGATTCGAGAAGATCGAGGTGGAGCAGCGAACAAGATGGATTATAAATGACGTAGACGGCTCTCATACGATCAAATACATTCCTGTGCATTTCAGAAAGACGTTATATCACAGAATGTTTAGTTGGTTAAAAACTTTTAGGGATATATCTGGGGTGCGGTTGATAGATGCCACGGCGTGATTATAGTTCAAGGATATTCATGAAGATTTGACGTACTAGAAACGGTGGGAGCAATAGGGTAAGCAAACATCGAGGCACAGCGTGGATTGTGGTTCCTGGAAGATTACATCCGAAAGATAAACAAAACCGGTTGAGAAAGGCACGCATTTGACAAGTCAGAATATAGTGCATTGTGGTTCGTATTGGATGCTGTTGGCCTGGCAGAAAACGAGGAGGACTTTGGTAGCTACGTTGCGCTATTCAGTGAAACAGATCTAGAGGAGCTGTGAAAATAATCATTTTTGAAACATTTATTTATAATTATTATTGAGGGCAATGCAAATAAAATATTTAGTCAAGTTTACCATTCCTGGTTACCTGTCAGGATCATTTGCACAATCACTAACCTTGTTGTCGTGCAGCGATAGTGTTGGTGTCTTCTCATTCGACCATCTGGTTAGCCACTGAAGGTAGGTAGCCTTCCCAGCTAAATACGACGATATGTGATTCAATCTAGAAAACTAAAATTTCATAATGCTTATCCTGTCAAATGTGGTAAACTCAGGCTGTACAGACAATGTCAGATTACTGATTATGTTACTTGACTTATTTGAGTAGTTCGATAGTGAATGAGCGGAAAATGTGTCCCTAGCAATGCCAACATGTCACAACTGCAACGTCTTGATGGCCATTTTTAGGCATTTAATCTTTGTTAGAAATTGCCAGCTCACAATGGTTTGAAACCGGACGTGTAAAGCTCAGCTCCTCAAAGAATGCGAACTTACTGTTAATCTATCATGATACTTAAATTATTTCTTGACGCCATTAAGGTAGGCATAGTATCACAATGAACGACCAACCTGCTGTCTTGTGTTCATTCGCAGCTCGCCCTATGGGCTTGAAATCACAAGGAAAAACAAAAAATACTGAGTTCAGTGAAATGGTGTCTATATGGTTTCAGAAAGTGTGCCTAACAGTTGCTTATTGAGTATTTTAATCAATGATTGAAAGGACTGTATTAAATAAAATTTCCCAGCTATCATCCTAAAGTCAAAGAGATAACCGTGGATTGTTCATGAAGCTCAAACTCAAGCATCACTACGAAGCCAGAGAATGAGAAAATTTATTGTTTTGACAATACAATAACTAGAAACTACTTTTTTGCCTATTTAGATCGCTAAATATTTGTATTTCCGGAAATCATGTTCATGCAATCCATTTGTAATTCTTGAGACCATTAACCATTAGGCATGCACTCTGATGCTGCGGCTGGTTGTTTGCTATCTTTTGACTACTCATTTTGATGAGGAGGTAGGAGGCAGATAATAAGGTTGAACGCAGTGTGAAGCTGAAAATAGGGAATTCGTATAGACTAAAGTTAAAAGGACAGTGACTAGAAAAAGACCTAGAATAAACTTCTCTTAATTACGCAAATAAATTTGTGTTTTTAGGTTGGAATATCGTTCCTAAGCATCATGAAACCCGTGTATATTAGAATACGTCAAACACTTTCAAAGATTAATTTTCGGGGAGTGCACAATGTATTTTCTACGGTTCTTTTCTTCCATTCACCTTTAGAAACCTTCTCGACACTGTACTGTCCAGATTCTCCTTCTCTCTACATAATAAAGATCCACTAGTCATTTCAGATTTTGAAAGGCTTTTTTCATGATGTTACATTTGAGTATTTCATCGACTTTCATGATTTATTCACTTGGTGGACAGATATTGCCAGCTGATTCACATCTAATTCGACCACTTTACTTGCTCTCAAATGCATCAATGTCTTTTTTAGTCATAAATGCGACCACAATAATATATATTACAGTGATATGGCATGCGTTTTCTTTTTTGATCAATCAGTTTATGAAAGTAAAATAACTTGGACACAACCCTTTACCATCATCTTTCCTGTTCCCACTAGGGAAAATACATCTATAATAAAGTATTGGAAATTAAACATTAATTCAAAGCACTTTTAGTAATTCATAATCCAAACAATTCACTATTTTGGGAAAGGGAAAATTTACATCACGGATTATGCGTGATTAATTTAGTCTTCAAACCAGATACGGGATTATTAAGCGTCACATAATTGTCTGTTTGTTCATTCAATTATCAAGAATCCGCATGACATCGGGGTGAGGCATGGGAGCTTGTGGACCTGAGTCAATGTTGCACTGCGTGCTTCTCTTGATGACTTTACTGTAAACAGAATATTTTGAAGCATATGTCCATATGTCTGCATGGCACAATTAAATGAGGTCCTCTAAATCCAACTATCTATTATCATATTGATATTGAAGTCTATTATATAATTTCTGGTTTACTTCTCTGTAGTTCATGGATCTGAATGATAAGTGATCTATTTTTGATACACTATGTTCTTTTGTCTTGCTGTGAGTTCTAATGAGCTGAACAAGGAGATGAAACAATTTGTCAAATTTCGAATTAGTTTTACCGAATGGGAACTTTCTGGATCAGTTTAGTCGTTCGTTGGACACCGCGAGCGATATGGTTTCATCGCAGGGTTCTTCTGTATCAACTCAAGTTCGAGTGCAGCAGTATTCGCTACATTCATCGTGATACCGCTTCCCGTTTTCACGTCTTCCGTCTACTCCTTCATCTTTGGAGAGCCGAAAGATGATAAACAAAACTGTTATACGAGAGTGGAAGGTCGGTTGTGACACAAACTGAAAACCACGTTCAATTTCGGTTTATTGGTGCAACAAATTTAGGGGAAAGTTCAAAAGTTCGCTGGAAAATCACCTTGCTGAGTTCTGTTTTCTTTTTCTCTCTAGAAACCACAGAAAAAGCGTTCTCGAAGTGAGACTGGGCAACACTTGTAAACCACTCAAATTCTGTTCTGCATGCAGCGTCACGAACACCCATAAACTGTTTTCACCACGATTGCTTTGTATGCATTGATGTAAGATGTTTTATGCCATCATATTTTGGATGATAGAGCACGGTTTATTTACTGCAATTTCAATCTTGACGACTGTTATACATATCCGGAAGGGGCCGTGAAAAAGTTGTGGGTTGACACTATGCTGAATTCAAATGAATGAGCCAAATAAGGTGCACAAAAAACAAAAGACTGTCGCACTGTACGCTAAAAGTGTATTGCGAAAGAGAAGTCATATGTACATTTTAAGGAAGCTGGTGAATGCCTAAGCCACCTTCGGCGATTTCCCAGGAAACAGAGACCGGTTGATGTGCTTGGTTTTGTTTTATCGAAGAATTTCGGGACAGTGTCAGAGCTTGAATTCTTCAGGCAAACACACACACTCCGGCACCACAAAATACCACGTGGTAATCGTCGGACATTGATTGCATCTTTGGCAGGTTTACAATTATCGCTCACATTGGATTAGATGGACCACATCCAAATTCACGTTCTGGGAAGTATTGTTGTGTGAATCGAATGGACAAGTGAGGAGCGGAAACGGAAGAAAAACAATAAACGAAAATGATTACAAAAAATCTTGTTTTTTTGTTTGTCGATGATCTTGATGTGCAAATGTGTGTGTGTGTGAGCGAGGTGGTATAAGTAAAACACTGTCATACTTGCTGATAAAATATGGAATTTATGGAAATCGGAACTCGTAGGTCGAACAGCAGCTGAGAGCAAAATTTCCTCGAATCGGAATAGCCGTTTGAAAGAATGTCAGGAAGTGTTCAAATTAAAGTACAATAGATTGATGTGAAGGGTTTAGAGTGAGCGTTTGATAAAAACCCGTGTCGCGTTGAGGAAAATTATGAGTAGAGATGGAGCAGGAAGGAAATTAAGAAATTCTAGATTAAAAACCTTGATTCCTTCTTTTCCCAACAAGTATAGAGATAGAGAGGAAGAGACATTTCCATAGACACTATAATGTGGAGGGTTATATGGACAAGGAAAGACGGAAGACCCGGAATATTTAGGAAGAAAATAACGGAAGGGTGACGGAAAACAGTCACTTTGTGTTTATTTCGAAATAGGTGGCACTAAAAAGCCACGAAAGTACGAAACGAAGTAATAGAAGTTGTAATCGTAGTAGTGGTAGTATGAGAATAATAAATTAGGCGAAAATAGGAAATAAAATCAATAAAGATAGCTGAAGTTTTTATGCAAAAAAGCGGAGGGCCCAATATCTGACCTAAAAAAGGGTTTCTAATAACGGCTTAATAAATAGAGACAATTCGAACGTTGGATTTGTTTGTCTCTTTTATGACGTTTATAATCGACCGGATATGAAAGAGAACGGGATGGTGGTGGTGGCGAGTGAAAGAAACTTTTATTCCTCAAATTCATCCAGTTCCAGAAACCTATCGTTCCACCTGCTCCGAGGCAGTTACTCGCGAACGGGCCACGTCTTTCAATCTGGGAAATTCACTAAACTGTTCACGAGCTTTTCGAATCCGGTAGGCCGCTCTTGCTTCCTCCAGAAGCATGAAATTGCGCATGTTTTCACGCTTCATCAACGCATCTTGGACTTCCACACAAATACCACTAGGGAACCAACCGATTCTTCCGTCCGAAAGCATACCTTTGTACCAACCTGTGAAAGGGAGAATAAGAAAGTGGATTGTTGAATGGTATTCGTCAAGTGATAGAATAAAATAAAATTCTCTTTTAGGATCACTCATAGGTAAAGTCTATGGAGCATTGGGGACAGTGCAAGACAATAGAGAACAATCAGGTTGAGACAAATTTAACAAATTTATTGACTTTGCGATTTACTGGAGAGGGTAAAATCCTATTGGTTAATTTACACGGGGTGTACTGATAAAATCAGGGTTAAACTCTAGACTGAAAATGATAGCAATATTTTGAAAATTCGTAGAATTAAGACGGTGAAGACGGCGTAAAATCCATAGTAAAGAAGGTCGACTGTTCATTTGTGGAAATCGATACTGTGAGCCCTAAGTCTTGGAGCGGCGAACCCCATAAGGCTCCCTTAGGTTAGTTCTTGTATTGAACCGGACGAGAGTGAAGCTGCCCACGACCAGTGCTCAGCGGCGGGGACGGAGTTTGAGCCTTCGATCGTAGGGCCCGAAGCACGCCGGTAACAGTGGTTCAATCCGCTTGACAACTGCAAATCTATGACCAAGCATCGTAAACACAGGATATGTTGAACCCAAATATTTCTCGGTAGTCGCATCAGCTGTGTGCATGTATTTAGATCACGTTAGACGTCAAATTCTTCGGTGCATGCTCTGCTATCATAGTAGACAGCCGTCTCTCAGTTCTTCTGACGTACTTACTAACGCAAATACATTGAAATAGGTAAATACAGGATGAGGTAACTGAAGATTCGGGTTTGTCTAGATTGGATTCTATGAGCATTCGCTTCGTATCGTGCAGTATTATAAAGGAGGCAGCATTATACGTTCTCACAATCGCTTGGTTCAGCCTGTTCTGTATCCGCCTATCATTTTGATCACCTTCGAACAGTATGGTGACACAGCTTTTTCGAGACGGTGTCACTTTGTTGTGGTTTATTCAAAGGGGCTCCATATTTTGCGCTTAACATTTTATGGTATCCATTTTCTTGCAGTACCTTGCATACGCAGTGAAAATTGAACGCTAATGTTTCACTGTAGCAGATTATCCTGGCTTTAGAGAATAAACTGTCTATCAGCGGTCGTTTGTATTGTATTGGAATGAAACTTCGAGAATTATGATATTGTCCCATCCAGGTCAGTTTATGAAATTCAGATATGATGAGAGATACGTTTCAATTTATTGTCAATGCGACATCCAAGACCTGGACGGAAGATTGGTTTCGTGCCCTACCAGTAATTGAGTATTCGGATGTAAGCGTAAGAATTGCTGTAAAAAACACTTTTATCAATATCGAAGTTAATCTAAATGCTAATCCAGAAAAATGATTAATGAAAGACGAATGGTGATGTAATCTTTTTGAGAGACATTCGCTGCCTGAAATTATTTAGTAACTCTTTGCATTGATATATGAAGGAACCCCTCAAATATCTGTTCGTTACCTCGCCATGTTCAACAGGCATCAAATGTGCTAGTTTCGCACACAAAAAATCAGATTATTTTTAAGCCGTTTAAAGATAGATTTTGAGGACGGAACAGTAGCTGAATAAACGTTTTTACCCATGAGTAAAATGACGGAATATGAGAAAAGATATGTAATCGAGGAACACGCAATCACCTCTGTTCAGACCGAGCGATCAAACACAGCACCAATATAACTGTATGCATATTCTTTTACATGAGGAATTATGATTGAGGGAAATGATACTCATGCACCACGTGAAGGAGGGATGGTCATCACTTACCTTGATCTGGAGAGTCGTTTAAGCTGACCAGAATACTGGCCTGGTCGCCCTCCTTCAATTCCAATTCATCTCCCTCGTTAGTGGAATGTGATCGTGTGATTAACACTTGGGGGCAGTCTGTGAAGAGAGAAAACGGCAATGAATAGCTATTATGCAAAAGGAACTGTAGCATGAACTTATTCTTACAGTTGTTTGTCTGATCATTAAAAATCAATGGATGAGTAGACCAGCAAAACATGCATAAGCGATAAGCCGTAAAGAGTCCATCAGTGGCAAGAACGTACACTATTGATCATAAACCACACACTGGGCTGACGCATTGCAATTCATGGCCAAGGTGGCTTGATGATCTTTCAAAAAAATTAACGAATTCCATAGTGCGGATTGGTGGAATGACGAGAGAGATTTTTATCTAAACAATTCAAACCATTTCGCTCTAATAGATGAAAGTGCTCATGGATACAAAACCATAGTGGAAAAAACGGTGTATTTAGTTCCTAACTTTGTTTGAAATTGTACATTTTCATGTGAAAAACAAATTGATGTAAAGACAGCGGTCGGTATAAACCAGTTCGTTTTCCAAGCGGATTTCCAGTCTTACCTAAGCATTAGAAATACTCGGAAATTCCATTTGAATAGGTTGAATTTCATAACTTCATTTATCTACTTACGAGTAGACAGAATCTGAACTCGTAAATTACAAGCGCACAAAAGGAGAAAAGATACATTTGACTAGGGGCTATGCCAGGCGAGACGAAATATCAATGGATGACGGAAAGTTTTGATGTTATTCGTATACGTCCAAATCTCTTGAATTTCGCAAGATTTAGGCAATCCAAAACTTCACTAGACTGAAAAACTGAGAAATCAATAGTAACATGCGGTAAAAAGCGAATCGCGGAATATCACAAACGGTTCATTGAATAGGCTTTAAGAACTACATTCATTATACATAGAAAAGTCATTTTGATTATAACAACTACCAACCGATTCACGACTCTGTCTGAGTCTCACAGTGAGAAGGCCCTTATTTAACTTTAAGTACTGTATGCGATTTCACAATAATCAAAACTGAATACAAAAACCGATCAGTATTTTGGTGACAAAGCCTACATTACGAATCATATCTTCGGAATATCACACTAATACAATCAAGCCGTTAGTAAAATAGCGTCGCAATCTGCTTTTAAAGACGGGATTTGCAGATTTTCGTAGGTCTTTTGGTGTATTTTTCTCCAATCCCGGCAGGTATTCAACCGATGGCGAGAAGGAAATGCGCGTACCGAGGCTGAAATCGTTGTGAAAATCAGATCAAGGGAATGAGATAGCCGTGACTAGCATTGACCTGTATGAAGTCATACTGATTAAGAAATTCCCGTTCAGAATGCATCAGAACCGATCGCATACAATTTATCATCCAAACGTGATCTAATTAGAGGCTAATGTGTAGTGTCAGTTTTGTTGGCAGTGAAGTGCCACAGTAAAATTTCGTGCTACAATCTGAGAAGAAAAACTAATACTTCGCTTTGGATTATTCTGATACAAAATAATCGTAGAATATCATTGAAAATCATGAATTAACATCTTCATTTCATTTGCAAGACTATGACAACGACCTGCTGACCGTAAACGATCAGATACTGTTGCATTCAGCTTACTCAAAGAATTTCAAACGTCCGATAATTTGTTCAACATGAATCAATTAGTAAAATAAGCTTCAGCATTGAAAACAAAAACGGAAAGATGTTAACTAATGCCAGATGTGTACATTTAATTCAGCGTGTACCTGTGTAATACATCACGTTTTTATCATCGTGAAGCGTCCATACAAGTTTTATCAAACATTCGTAAAGCAAGTTAATTTTGTCTCAGTTTATTGTCCTTGAAAAAGATATCCAGCATTCTGTACCCCAAGGTATTACATACACATCATTGCTTGTTTGTTGCTTGGGCCAAATCAGATAGTTTGTCCAACTGTTAAATGCTGTTAGTTATTGATCACTAAAAAATAAGAAAAAATCAAGAGCACCCCGTCGAATAATTTTAATTATGCGTATCCCAATGTAGAAAGTCTTTCTTACTTTAATACCTTTTCATCATTAAGGTTACGTGTATGGAGAGAATTGGTGATAGTCTCAGTCACGTACGAGCGAGCAGATTTATTGTTTGTGATGCTACTTCTATAACTCACCCCAAACTTTGTAAACCAAATTCTCAGCTATTCCGTATCGCTTTGGTGAAAGGGCATCGATCCAGCGTTCCCTTTCGGATCTGGAAAAATTGTTGAAAAATATGGGCTATGGATAAGTTATATGGCCTACTTGGTTAGCACCACCAAGTGTTGAATGCTACACTAACAAGGAGTCATATTGAGAGTAGTGAAGAAAAATATATAATCTGCGTAATATTATTAACAGTTTAAATCTTATTATAGATACCAACAATGGAGTGCATCGGTGTTGAAATTTTTCATACCTTGGTACCTTGATTCTACTACACGGAAGTTGTGTAGAGAGTAATGTCGATTTGGACATATGTGCACTAACAGAAAGGTCTTCTGGTTACGATGCCAATGATTTCGTCTGTGTTTAATGATTACTAGGGTAAGCAGTGATCTTGGAATGGAAATGAAAGAAATTTTACAAAGTAACAAACTTAGTAGCGCTCATTATGAGCTGCATCCCACAAATAGAGATTTGTTCTCACTTCGTATACAAATTAGGGCCGCAAAGCAAAATATATCACCATAGACCTCAAAGATAGACCAGTACATTGGATGTCAAACTGGAATGACATATATGTATTGATGTAAATATTTTTATCCCGGCTAAAATGAATTCATGGGGTGCATCTTAGGTGTGCCCACTTTATTGATAGTTTGTTTGCAACAGAAGTTAGATAAAGTAACAGGTGTTTCATTCATCTTATCCATTAAGTTAATTTTAATAAATTAAGACACAAACTTGGATAGGTGAATCAAATATCCTTTGAAAAAAATTTTCAGTACACTACCTTAATACCTTCCTTTTCAAGTGATTCAAGCTGCTATTCCTGTATAATGCGTGGATAAATAAGTTAATATAGTTTTTGATAATATCTTTGGAGTACAGTGCAAATCACTATCCGGTTACGATATCAAGGCTACCATTATATTTACTGCAACCGTTGGAGTGTTGAATAACATAATGGGATATACGTTGCATTCACACGCAAACGCGTGAACAAAAAGTAGATTAAACTACTTGCACCTTTACATGTTCAATCGTGTGATAAAATTCAAAACCAACTTCAAATATCTTGTGTTGGACAGGTTCTTAAAGAAATAAGCTCGAGTGCGGCAGCATTCGATGGTTGTGATCAAGTATATTAAGTCGATATCGTTAGTGTACCTAAAACTGAAACCTGTGGTTTAAGCTGCGTCACTGCCGCTCAACTTGGGTGATAGACAGCTGTACGGTAGCCAGGGACGACCGCTTTTCTATCATACTGAGGTAGGCATCACGTCACAGGATCAAAGCTGTCGGCAGCAACCAGGAATGCATCGTATAAATCGGTTTCAAACTCTACTCCATATACACAAATGTACCACAATGTGTCTAGTTTTAGATTATGCGCTAAAAAATCAAGGTACCAAATTCTTAAAGACTATTGCAAATCTATGGATACGTACAACGTTTTTGCCTGTAGATTATAGACCGATCGGGGGTGATTTGGAGATTCAATAATCAATCGAAAAGGGAACATTGTCATATCGCCTGTTTCCGTCGGAATCGACATGGCTCTTTTGATCGTTTCTGATTCACGGTTCCTCGGCGAATTTCGGTCATCCGAATGTCCATTAATCTCATTGCCAAATTGTGAGTCCACCGCCTGTGAGTGCAAGCGTCCCACAGCGGTGACTGTACCGGGACCAGGAGCTGTTTTTGGATTCCCATTGGCACCTAGTGTTCCAGCCGGATAGTACTTCACAATGTTGATGTCAAATGGGCTAGGGTCCACCTCGACGCGAATCCATGACAGAGGACAGTGTTCATCAACCATGAGACGCTGGTTGCTGAGACCAAAAATGGGGAGAGGCTTTATCAAGTGTTGTCACATAGCCATAAACAAATAATAAAACTATTTTTGAAAAGTGACTAACTGAAACTGTTCTATATGTATCTGACATTTTCAAGGTCAATCAATGCATACAGGTATACAACTTTGACACCGAGATAAATTTGATTTGTATATTGTATCAAAGGTATTGAAACCATGAGCACCAAATCAATTTTATTCCCGAATCAATCGAATCGTGATAACCAATCCAAGAGTGCAAACTGCCGTTTGATTTAGGCCTAATTTTGAGTTATGTGTAACACAGGAATAAGTACCTAACTTTCGTTGTTGTGCAGAACAATCCTAATTAACACACTTCTTGAAATTCGCATCGAAAAAATGCTCCCAAACTTCTAGTGATTATCGTGATCATAGTGCATCTGCACTGGTAAAAGCAAGCACACTCCAAAAAGACAGGTATTTGCACAGGTAAAAAATCCCGGTAAAGTCCTTTTTTGTAGCTCAACTGATTTTCCGTAAATTACGTTACTAAACAAATATGTTTTTCCAATGGTAATTCGCCGTGTATATAGGAAATGAAGCGTGAACTAAAGGGCTCGGAAGCACTGGACGGCTGTTTCGACCTGGTTGGGTCCCATCAGCAGTGCGTATCCACCGACCCGACTGAGGATCGAACCTGGGACTTCATAGACAGAACGCAAGAGTGCTACCCACTATACCACCGAACAGTTGGCCAGACCGTTTATTATTTTCCATTTACACGATATAGCACAACCCATCTTTGAAAGTTTGTTGCGGGCCACGGACCCTGCTCAACTCAGCACTAGCCTCCGGGGTTATTACTCGGTTGGAAACATTCGCAACCTGACTGATAACTTCATGTGACTAATGGAGGATTTGGTTAAATTTCAAATGGTAATTCGTCGTGTATATAGGAAATGAAGCGTGAACTGAAAAGCTCGGAAGCACTGGACAGCTGTTTCGACCTGGTTGGGTCTCATCAGCAGTGCGAATCCATCGACCCGACTGAAATTTAACCAAATCCTCCATTACTCACATGAAATATGTTTCTGCCAGATTTGGTTTACTTTCTGTCAGAAAGGTCAACGTTTTATAGGAGATGTTCGTTTAAATGGCACTGTACACATGCATTGAGATGCATGTACTTCATCTGGAGATCAAACAAATTATAGCCGCCCCCGCCCCCCCCCTCCGAATTCCTAACCGACGTTGGGGAGTGAGTGTGACACACAGAACCATACGGTTCAGATGCGCTTTAATCAAAGATCCGATTCAAATCATATTTCATCTGGAATGACGTGAAAAATGTGAAAGCAGAAAAACACTGCGCCGTCGTCAATTGTAAAACGATTTGTGTATCCGTATAGTCATGATTAGTATATCGAGAATAAATTCTTGCTAAAAGCGGATGTATCTATCTGGGTTGGTGCCTTTATTGCTGAATAACTATTTCACTTATGTGTAATGTGTCCCACTTATCTGTAATAGTTAGCAGCTAAGATATCGGTTTGCATACTTTAGAATCTAACTATTTGCGGACCCCGGAGATAGTAAATCTTTCACTTTTCTAGAAGTTTACTAGTGTCGTACACATTTGGATACGTTGACAATCAGTTCAGTTCAGTTCTTACAACTACTAACTATGCATTTTCGTGCGTCGCTTTTGGTTGTCCATTTGGATAAAACATCAGAATGATGATTAGAATGTTGAGTGCAGATTTAAGCGGAAGATAGCACATTTTTGTAGACCACAATTACAAGAATAATGAGTAGATGCATGAGCGCCACGACGAGACTTCACCTTGGCGTGGTGTGATGGCTTGCTCGTTTCAATGACCCTGCGTTCTATACAGCATGGCTCCTCAGCCGCAGATCCAACCATGCCTGAAAGGTCAACGGGTAGAGGCCAGACAAAAATCAGTCCCACAAGGCCAGTTGCTTGGGCACCTCGTGGCTTCTTTCCACATCCGCCCCTGGAGAGGTCATTCCAGTAAATAAACACGGTGAGGGGCAGTTTACCGGTCAAAAACCCCCGTTAGATGGACGTAGGAGCGGGGTACCTGTGGCTTCCTCTCGACGGTTGGGGAAGTCTTCGCACTTCATAGGACAGCTACCACCTGCCCAAGCTGGGAAGTCCCCACCCAATAAGGTGCTGTCCAGTTCACGTTCCGCTTGTCCCATAGGGTGCATGAGGCTCAGGGCCGATCCCGTAAAGCGGACCGACAATCAATGCACCAGCGAACAACAAACTTGACCGAACTTCAAAGGCCTTGAGTGACAGGTCTCTAGAAGCTCCCACACGGGTGCTTTGTTCACGTTCCCGCGTTGGATTTATGCCCCACTGCGTTGCAGGTCAGACTTTTGAGTCAAAGGCTCCGTTTGGGGTTCCCAAAGAAAAATCCCTTCGTCGGTGTGGGCAACCGCGAAGTATGCCGTGCCCAAACGTCCTAGGTACCCATTTGGAGAACCGTCTTTCGCAACTGTCTATTTCCCTTTCTCCCATACCTTAAGTGATGCATCGTGTTTGCGACACCCATCGGATACCACTCAGAGGCTAACAGATTTTTGAAATGAAAATCTCCTTTCCACTTAGCCGCATTTAATGTCCGCACACTCTATCAGATTGGTCAACGAGGATAATACATAATAATAAGATGGGTAACGTGAATTACCGTGTCTTCACTTTTATTTTATGTAGCATAAACTGGATAACGAGGAACCCGCCGTAGTTTCTTAAAGCAAAATCTGTTTTAAGAGGCGATTTAAAAAACAAAACAAAATTATTCACTTTGATCCTGCCGCTGAAAGTAATGATGTATGAAATGCACAACGTTTTTATTCAGCTGCCCAATTCGATATAATGCGTGATACTTCCCGCTTCTTCGGTTCCAAGTCAGGCTTACCTGCGTTTCTTGGCAATCATAAATAAATCGTTGAATAAGAACAGACTGGCGTTGACCGCTTTTTGACGCATGATGCTGGAAAATTTCCGATGAAATGCACTTCCCATCGTGCGTTGGACGGTCATCAGTCGAAGGTCGCCTTCTTTGATCAGATAACGATTATCAATGGCCACAGACTGATAATTTGGAAAAACGAAAGAACCGAGATGAGTCAAATGGACGCGCAAAAGAAAACTAAAATTGAAAAATAAAATATTGTTTGTTCTTGAGTCAGAGTAGTTTCTAGCGGTTCTTTATTCGATAGTTTCAAAAAGGTAGTTTTCCATTCGTGCTTCTTCGTTTTCCCCAAGTGTCCTGGTAAGTCCACGGCCGCTAGACGTGATAAGTAAATAACAGACAAGAGGGAATTCCCCCAAATACTGGTGTTGCTAATAACAGGATAGGTTTAATTATCAACTAATTCTGTGTAATTGAGGACTATCATGTCGCACTTATCAGAACCAGAAACTTTCAGATATTCATTAGCAACTGACACTTTGATCACAATTTGTTATTACAAAACCTAGGCAGAGGTTATTATTACCTTCTACTATAGGAAATATTTACCCAATTGGTCTCAGTGAAGTGTACCATTGAGGTTTGGCATACATCGCCAAATGATAGCAAGAGTGATCTTTCAGGGGAAACTTCCTTATTCGTAATAGTAACTTTGTTACTCTCCCAGTTAATTATTTCTTTGACTATAACCATGCTTTTAATGAGCCTCAATAAACTACTCCAATACAATTCCCCAAAGTGAGCTCTGTATCGCACGCTCCTCTGCTATGATCAGATTTACTCTTAGATTGTCACTGTTGTTGCTAAAATACTAGCCTAAGCTAGCAGCAACTCACTTTCAATATTTCAGAATTTGGTTAATATAAATTTTCATTCATTCCAATATCTGATTTTATTCCACTTGGAATAGACTAAGGGACCGAAGATGAGCAAAAATTAGTCGAAAACTCTGACTGACATCAGTAACTTGTTGTCCACTAAAGGTTCATTAATGAGTGCTTTTCCGACTTTAATCGAATGACTACGTTTCTCTTATTAGCTTGTCGTTTTCTTGGTTCAGCCTTGCACCCAAGATGTTCACTGCTGATCATGTAGCTCAGTGGTATGGGTTTCGACTCTTAACGCGTATGCCGGAGGTTTGAATCCCGACAGGGGTGTAAAAGCAGTTAGCATACACTGGAGAAAAAGCAAACAAAACAGCTGCCCAAATTTCCATGTTGGCCTTCAAATGTGAAATAGAAAGCTAACTATTTTTTCTTTATTGAAACCTTGGAGTTCGAGTTAAATAACTCACAGCGGCATAGATAAGAGTACTATGTGGCTTCGGTTAGTAAAAAAAGGGGAAATGAGAGCATTTAGAAATGTGTGTACAGAATATAAAATATGAGATACGTTTTGGACTTCAGAAATAATCGACAAAACTCCGAGGCAGTAATCGCATTCATATTTTGAACTTGATCATCTGAAAATTTTAAACTGGGCAATGTCGGTCACTGATGGCAAAGATTATAAAAATGGTTTTTCTAAAAATGCCTGCCAATTTACAGAAAAATGTTCTCTAGTGCAGATTTCAATATGTTGACTGTCATGGAAAATGAGAAAAATGGTTCACATTTGCTAGCAGGATGTAGTAATAAATAACAAGTGTTACCGTTCCAGGTACTTGTTATCTTGTAGCGGAAAGTTTGATAATATTCTGTCAAATAGCAAATTTTCATACATCCAGTTTTGATCAGGAATTTGATGAGAGCGAGAACGAGCACCACGAAACAGGTTGAATTCAACTGTGTCACGTTATTTCTTCAGCTGTTTACCAAAATCCAATTGAGAGTTTGGTCAAAACAATAACAGTCATTGAGACACCAAAACCCCAAACGCTAGACTGTAAACAAATCGATACCGTTATCACTTCCAGTGTTAGGAAAACAATTTTGATCCAAGACACTGTGAAGTATGCTTTCTTATTGGCAGTGGGGTTTTAAATCAGGTGCCTAAATAGTTTAACACACAAATATAATACGATTCGGTGGACAGAGAACGTCCGTTGACAAAGTTGGTGTTCCAACTGAACGAAGCGGACCGCGAATTTCTCTGTCCAGCATTCAGAGCAAACCACTTACTTCATCTGAATACCGAGAGCAGTGGAGCTAGGGTCGATTGAGCACATATAAGCTACACAAGCGCTGAATTTGTGGTGCACTTGGTCACAAAGAAGCTACCTGCTGCCATCACCCGAAACTAAACATATACGATACTGCTTCGTCCAGACCTCACAGTTTTTTGACCCTTATTTTCTCCTTGAATGCTGCCCATTTCAGGAACCGGAAACCTTCATTTTCTTCCACGTCAATAATTACACAGTGAAATTCCAAACTGACAGCCTCTGGTTCGATTACAGTTTTGAAACTATTTGGCACTTTCAGAGCGAAACAGCCTGTTGGCAAACCGCCTATGTTGCCCCAGGGGCAGCTGCAGAAAGAATACCATGTATTGGTGAGTTCCCATGTGATGTTTCAATTCGTGACTTTTGTCCTAATGGAACTAGCTAGCTACATATTAAAACGGGATCATTGGAACCTCCTTGACATCAATTGAATAAGAAAATTGAAGTTTTGGAGCCTCCCACCTCAGTTTAAATTGCGATACCTGGTACAATAATTTCACCCTACAGGAAACATCTAGGTTGCGTCCGTATATTCTGAAACCATGAAAGCCATTCCCTCATAAATACATATTAGCGTTTCTTCTGACGATAAACCATTTATGCTGAAAAAGCATTTGGCAATATACGTCCTTGCGATAAAAGTAAATTTTGACCGAAACAGTTAGTACCTTACGAGCCAGTTGCACTTGTGGACTGTGAGCCTGTCCGGCTGGAAACGTTGACAATTCGTCAGCCTAGTTAAACATTCAGAAAGGGCTTTGCCGATCGTAGTCATGACGGGGGGGGGGAGGCAAACCGTACCTCAATGAATCGTGGCGATTTTTCAGTGACACTGAACCGATGACTCGAGGCACATCATTACCTACACTACCCGTTCCATGTGACTTCTTTGTCAAGTTGTTTGGTGCATAAATGTTTTTAAAGTTGATCTTTCTGGAGCCCACACACAATAATGTTAAAAACAAATGTAAGGAGTCAAGTGCCGTAAACAGACATAGGGCATGTACCACACAGATTCCCTATTAAAGCAGATTTCTGAGTATCGTTTCCGACTTCAGTAATCACTTGGACCATTTCGTTTCGATCAGTTAGAGTAATGACAGATGATTCTAACCAATGCAAATTGTAACCATATAGAAAACGCGAACAACCACCAACAGAGAATCGCTGCCATCCCTCCTTAGGGTCATAAATTACAATTCGATACCACAGCTGTATCAACTGCGAGCTCAGTTAAGCTAGCTACTGGAATGAAGCACCCAACGGTACTGGTTAATTGCACGCTAGACTTACCTTTTACTCACCATCATCGTAAGTTAGCCATGAACTTAACGCTTGGACAATGAAATTGTAGTCGTTTTGCCACCTGAAGTCTCTGATAACAATCTGCCATTCATCGCGACAGTGATGCTGCNNNNAGACAAGAAGACAAACCTTGTCGGCTGAACAAGAATCTCTTATACTCCGCGAGCACTTTGTTATGCTGCAGGCGTTACTGAAACAATATCAACACGGTCACCCAGGTATTGATCAAATGAATGCCGTCGCCCATAGGCACAGATACTGACTGTTTATGGATACGCAAGTTGAACTGATGACAGCTAACATGCCGCGTAAGACTGAACCTTAAACAAGGCAATCTACAGCAGCCCAAGTTCACACATTTATGTTGATTTCCCTGGCCCTATTTAAGGTATATATTAACTATGCATTCCAAGTAACCGGCAGTTGTTTCAATNCATAAACACCGGCAGAATCATGCTGTTCCCACTTGACATACTCATTTTTTCAAACAATTCAAAAACCTCAAACAGATTTTACCAGAAACACCTTACGACACTCTTCCGCACATGTATCCAATTCAGTCATTTTTATGCAATAAAACATATACTGAAACACTTAAATGTTTCAAATGTGATCAAAACCTTATGGAATAAATCCGACGGAAGCATCCAGACAGTAATTATTCGTTTTATTTCATTCCAGGTCTATGTAGTCCACTCGACAACGACATAATCCCGTTTAAAGCTATTCATCGCTTTTTGCGGTCCCGTGCATGAAACCTATGCATGTAATCTGTGGGGACCTACGGGGGCCGTTTGATCCAATTAAATACATCACGGGACCTGTTGGAATCGCGGTAGCTATTGATCCCATAGTTTACAAATTTGCTCTCAGTTGGACACAGATGGAAGAGAGAGAAAAAACAAATCACATTCCAGATGAAGCGAGTTCTGGGAGGAGACATTTAGATTATCTCTAACTTGCCTTGGCATCTAGTTTGTAATCTAAGCGAGTGCACAGATCGACCAAGCGTTCTTTTTGCTCCATGTAGGACTTCTTTGCTTCACATGTACCCAAGACCTGAATAGGAGAAAAGTATAGACAACTGAGTAAAATCCAGTTGTGTTGAAATCTGGTGCAGGTTATATTACTCAGTAAACGCCTAGCAAATAGCATAGATATACGGTGGGCGAATCACACACACGGTGATGCCTATTAGGGTACATATTATTCAGCCGTTTCCCGGATAATTCACATAGTGAGAGTTGAAGAAATACTCTGAAAATACACAATAAAATTAAGTTGGATCACCACGTGGTATTTATCATAAGTATAATACTCTGTATTACATTGTTTACGATTGAAATCGTTCGGGGGAAGTAGAACAATGATCTTCAAGTGATATGCAAACACACGTTGAACAGGTTTGCAGGTTACAATATTCTTCCTCAGTTATATTTTTTGGGTCAAAAATCAGGAAGAATCAATCAAGACCTCCGATTACAGAGGATCATTGGCATCCATTTCGAGTTAGGAAGACTTTGGTAAAGTAAGGCCAATTTCATTCTCATTCCAGCTGAGCAGATTCTGCTGACGACTAGTGACAAAATCTAGACAGCCAGGATTTTCACAAGCTGTTGGGATAATAACACTTCAGTGCTCCAGCGTTGCCTCCATAAAGACTTGTAGTCTGTTCAACCTTGCGTATTACCCCTTAAACAAGCTTTGATCACAATCGGAACGTTTCTAACATAGACATGTTTCTTTCCGGTTATTGAGAAACTGAAAGAGATCAGTAATGAGCTGTCCTGTATAATGAAAAGGGAGAGCCATTAACTGAAGCAAGCTGAGACTACCGGCAACGTGATGGATATGCAACTTTTATTTCCATGGTGAATTACTAATTCTTTGTTTTACTCTGGTGAGTCTTTCCGACGTAACAAGGATACGTTTGAACACATCCGCTTAGGCAAACTAAGCTGTTTCTATTAAATAGCTCGCAGATCTAATCCTTACAATTTTTGTGTTGAGCGAAGAAGTAAAAAAGGTGGTTGCACGTAATAAACTGAAAGGCTTCGCCAGATAAGAATTCGTATCTACTCTGAGAGATACACAAAGCTTTGATATGAAATAAAAAGAAAGAATATAAATGGGTAGTGATATAAGAGAACCAAAAGTTACCTAAGCCAGCTGGAAAGGTAAGTGTGCAGCTCAGCACATCAGGAGGAGGTTTCGCTAGTTGATATCGAACACTACCAATTTTGTGAAGATCAGTATAGGCTTGTTTCATAAAGCAATGCCAAACAATTATCAAATTTACTTTTTACTTATCACAGAACAGTTCCTTTAATCTCGACCGAGTACCATATTAGCTTTGATTTTATACGTGCTTGCCTACGTCGGTTTTGCAGCAGCAACAGTGAAAACTGCACCCTGTTCGTGATCGTGGTGACTAACCGGAGTATGGTGTTTTATTTTGACGAAAACTCTGTGATTTGACTATATACCGTGGATATGCAAACAACGGATAAACACTGTCCGTATTTGAAGTTTATTTTGCAAAATTCTGAAACTGATATTTTACCTGTTCTCCGTGGCACTCTCCTAATAATGGTTGTACGGGAAGTTTAATTAGGGCATCATCAATACATTTTATTTCAGTGCACACTGATTGCTCAACATGGATGGCAGTTCGAGTTGTTCCAAGAATGAAAGAAACAAGTTCACAGCACTCGTTGCCCTTATTTCTCAAAAGGGTAACAGATCAAAATGCGAAAGCTGTCAAAGTATCAGTTTGATTACATCTACTGAAAAAATGCACGCAGTGGTCCTACTTAACCATTTTGCAACCACTAGACATGCCTACACCCGCCCTAATGAAGCGGGCTTGCGCCGCAGGAGAACCTATGTTAAACAATCTTTCAATCTCTGCAGGATCGTGGAATCTCGCTACAAGTTCCGAGTTTTGATGGAGAATCTTTTTGTTGCACATGTTGCGATCTGATGGGATGCCCACGAAACTCATCAACACAATATATTGTACAATGCGCCAAGGACACTGAAGTGGTAGACGACGCATTAACTCTGCCTATTGTATTGACAACTCTATACAATTCCCGAAACCAATGGACACTCCTGCTGATTTGTATCCAGGTGTGCGATATTTCATTCTATTTTACGTTTACGATCTCACTAAATGAAAAGTTTCAGAACTATTCACTTTTATTGATCACCCAAATCAAAAAACGATTCTTTCCGCGCTGTTCTTGTCTGCTCGATAGACCTATTGAGGAAATTTCGAGTGCGTTTTACTCAATGAGATAGTGGTATTGTCGGATAAAATCGAAAGCGTTTTTATTCTCTTGTATTTTAATCACCATATCGACTGATACTTGCCTTTTCCAATGCAGCCAAAGCGACCAAACCAGATTGATATACCACAGTGCTTTTGGGGGCATAGTTCAACACGGTGGCTACCAACAATCGAAGTCGAGTAACGCGTTGCAGTGGCAACAGGAGAAACGAGTTCATATCGAGAAAACCGACTTCCGGAATACGTTGCAAGTTCTTCACAGCTTCGGCAAATGCAGGTGTTTCACTGAAATAACCAATCGTAAATACGTACAATAGATGACTGGGGTGATCCATAAAGGCTTTTACATGTTTCATGTTAAGCGCATCCCAAATATGCTCTGCGGTACCAAATGAAACAATAAAAAAATTCTATGGAGTCTTACTGCCGAGAAAAAGTAATAGATTCATTCGATCGAGTAAACCACCAAATTTCACTACGAAAACTCTACAACTATGGAGTTAAAGGTTTGCTTCTGAACTGAATCCGGGAATTTCTCCGACAAAGGACCATGTCAGTTCGTGTTGGTGATTCATTATCAGAGTCTATCACAGTTGCCCGAGGGGTTCTTCAAGGATCCGTGCTGGGGTCTCGTCTCTTCTGGCATTTATAAAAGATCAGCCACATATCCTTGGGCCTTGCGGACGACGCTAAGATCTGGGGAACTGTAACACATCCTGAGGATTATATAGCACACCAACAAATGATCGATGCATCCCACCGATGGTCAATCGCCAGTGACATCGAGTTCAACGTTTTCAAATGCAGAGTTATTTCCATGCGGCCTAAGACTCGTTTCTCCTTTGTTCTGGGGAACCAAATACTACCACATGCCACTGATGAAAGCGATTTGGGAGTTATGGTATAGGAGGACGTAGGATGTTCCGCGCACTGTGCCAGAGCATCATCTATGGCTCTAAAGCAAGTTTGACTACTCAGCCGTGTTTTCGAGCAGTGCAAAAGAGCACTATTCCCACGCTCGCTATCAACGTTCGTTCGGCCACACAGGGAGTACGCCGTTCAAGTATGGAATCCATGTTTGAAACGCGACAAGAAGGCTCTAGAGCGTCCGCAAAGGATGGAAGAAATTGGTAAAAGATTTATATAACAAAACATACTCCGAAAGACTGTAAATATTGGGACTCTGCTCATCTCAATACCACCGACTTCGGGGAAACCTAATCTTGGCATATCATATATTGTATCAACCCAATCACTGTTGCCGTTCAATGTAACAGATTATTTTGCAAACAAAGAATTTCAAGAAAACTAATTTCTAACAGTACAGCTTTATGTTAACGTAATCATAATCAATCTTTCTGATTAAAACTGTGATTGATCTATTTATTTCAAAAGTCAAATTAAATAATAATGAAAAGGCTTCATTTACACCCCTGAGGTTGAGGTGGACGAGTCTTAGTTACCAAGATATACTTGTGACATGTTTATAAGAGGATTACTCGAACTGTTGGGATAAAATAACACCGAGATAATCCACGTCGCGCACTGAAGAGACGCATCAATCCTCGACACGTAACTCAGTGGACTTACGTTCTAAACTGAACAATAGAAATGGTAAACAGATTCAAAATGATGATAAACTCTAAATGTCAGCTTGATTTGGGCACAGAGACACAATCTTCACTGCTTACGAAGCTCATTCGTATCACTCAGTGTCCCTGAAGTTTGACCCAGTGGTCAACAATCTTGCGTATATACGGATAGACTACTGAATCAATGCTTTCTCTCATATTTTGTCCATTATGATTTAGCGGCAAATATATAATTAGTATTTGCTCAAACGTATCACAGGAAAGAGGTTAAGCCGTTATTTGGATTCTGCTAACCTGTTCAGCATCCATTTGTTGGGATGCCCTGCCACGCAGAGGTACATCAAATATGCGACCAAATAGAACTATCTCAGCCTTCGTTTGTTCTCTCAAAATAAGTCGTTAATGACACGCGCATGGCTTCTGAATACATGTCATTGGTGGATGGTGCCAGCCAATCCAAGACAGTGTAGATAGAAGAAAGATAATGCAGGCAGTACTGCAATCCCATTGATGGAAGCCCAGATAAGCAATAATCTCCCTTTGTACATACTATATAATCACCTTCATTTCTTCCAATAAACGAACTACTGATTACTGCCATTCCTGTGGCCTTTTCCTGGCGTCTCGTTCTCGTGGGACATAGCGAATCCCTGCCATTGTGGTCCAGTGCTTCTGAGATCCAGTCCGTGATGGTTGATTATTGATTCGGGTCCTGTGATTCATATTGCGTGGTTGGTGTTCCGAATTCCGTGCGTATTACTACGATTACTACAATCATTACACTTCTTTACTGCCGAACAATGCAATATTACGCCTATTTCAGTAAGGATTTTTGTCCCAAGGTTTAGTTTGTTGGTGTGCGAAAGAGCACGTCTTGGTAATTGTAAAGTATGCTCTCTTTTGCCGTTCGCCACCCTAGGGTGTTTTATAAAAATGCAGCTGAACGAACATGCTGCTGTCTATAACAAACGGGAAATTTTGAATAAAACTCAATTCCAGCCACGAAGATATGTGTGTATGACGAGCGGATGAAAGTAGACTGTAATGATATGATAGAAAAACTTAGAGAGACCATGTGAGCACATTTTTCTGTCGAAATAAAATAACAATGTGGCATAAACCTACAGCAGTTTACATAGCGTCCGAGTTTGATACATCTGATTCTGTACATATGGGACGTAGGTATCAAATCGGCTCTCCGCGTGTTCATATACAATCTCGCACAGATTCTTCAGCATAGGATCCTCACGGAAACAGGCTTCCATGGCGCTGAGAAAGCTGAATAGACGAAACAATAGGTAAACGTGTTTATCGCACAAAGATTTGGTCAATCACTTGGGAATTATAAACAGAAGTTCATGAAACGCAAAGTATGGGCAAGCATATGTCTCGGATGAGTTCAATTTTTACGAGCTTACACGAAGGGTCTGTAAAGCTACTTTGGAGCAGATTATGGTTGTCAGGATGACAAGGCAAAGACGTAGGTGAGAAAAGCGATCTACGTGGGGAAAAACTGTCACCATGAGTGCATACTATGCACATTCACTGGATTGCATAACTGATGATGGATTAAGATCGTCAGTATCCTTGCGGATGAAGTTAAAGTTCCTTAGCATGAACAATATCATCGTACAACCAAATACATTTCCTGGGTAAAAGAATTCAGAATGGTTGAATTAAAAATTGAGTTCAACACATGTGAAAACCTCGCGTGTGAAGATTCAAAATCTGCGGATTGATTTTGCATGAGTTTAAAAGGGGAATTCCAAAGATCATTTTAAACGCTGAAACGTCTTTCGGAGCCTTCCGTTTTCACTGGTGGAATAGCCATTGAACCTGTGGTAATCCTAGTTATCAGTTGTTAAGCTTCTTTTATTCTCATCATAAACTGCCTCAACAATCAACACGAAAAAATAGTACCAATCTATAGATTATCACATATATGGTTCATATGTAGATTTCTATCGACAGCCGTTATCCACAATAAATAATAGCGATCGAATTTCTTTTCTTTTCAACGTAAAACAATAAACCCCAGTAATCTTTCCAGGGATGCTCAAAAAAGACTTTAAACTGCTTTCCAGATCATTAACACATCTATCAAGAAGCAGTGGGATTTCCCTTGAAACTATCTGTCACTTCATCATTTCCCAACATACAAAGTCATGTCTTTCGTTATCAACAAAAATCATGGATAACCCTTCACATCCATTACATCAAGATCTTATCAAGTGTGTTTCCTCCTCTTCCACCCGGTCCCGTTATAAGTGTATATTTGCTTGTACGACCGCTTATCGGTCTTCTGTGGTGCCCTATCTTGCCCGATTTCTTGTCAGCGCAGAAAGTATTGCTTCGGACCTTTACTCAGTTATCTCGTAAATTGTATTCATTTTCACTGCTCACGATAATTATGCTATAATTTTGTTCGATAATTGTTAGTTGAATATGTGACTGCTGAATATCCACCTTTCGGGATGCATAAAGCAAATACTTGACTTGACTTGACTTGAACCCGATGTTTGAAGAAAATGCGAACACGTAATGGAATCTGTCGTCACTTTGCGATTCCGATGATCACATCAAATTACCCCATCAGTATTTTCCTGTTGATCAATATAATTTAAGCGTTTCTATTTAAATCATTTCAATTTTGTTTGGTCCAGAACAATCTGCCGCACTCATTTTGAGTAACCGGTAACAACAGTTAATTTTGTATTATCTTGACTCACTCTAATGTACTGTGATTTTTAAAAATTTTATTTCTCACTAGACGAAAAGAAACCTAGTTCCCAGAGAAGTATCCAGTTTTTCATTACAAATAGTAGTTTTGAAATCTAACAGTACTATCCTATCGTACTGCACGGAAGCGTTCATGTCCATCGACAAAGGAAACCGCTGAAGTTATTGTTACTTAACTTGGGCCCGGTGAAAGTTCAAAGGTCAGATATTTGTTCAGGTTAAACAAAATTGTTCTCTCACAACAACATGGACGCATAATTGAACCACCGACGCTAAGTAATTCCTACTACAAATTCTTTTCAAGCAGTGCGTTGTTTTTCAGTGTGATACGTATCAAGGGTGCGAATTTCACGAGCAAACCTCACCTACCTTGGTCGAGTTAACTGCTGGGTTTGCACCAGCCACCTAATCACGCAACAGTGTTCTCCAAAGTGACTGAACATGCAATTATCCAGTGATGCGATCATGAATCTGCCGGTGATTCCGGCGAGACGTGAGCGCCGTTGAGGTTAGAGTGTGATTAACAAGTGATTCGAGTGTGAAAAGATCAATGCTATCAGTGTGGCCTCGTAGCTGTTCATCTGGTATGAGCAAGTGCTCAGGTCTGCGTTACCGTTTTCGTCTCGGATAAAAAATGGCAAAGATACGTGCAACCGCTACTCTTCGCTCATTTCCGAGCCAGAATCACGTCAAGCATTAAGACGCGTATGAGCCTCCGAATGATTGAAAATATTGTGGTAAAATCTTCCATGCCCAAACTTCCAGTTTAGTCAGATTCTCTTAGATGCGAGTGCTTTCAAACGGACGACTTCATGCGTACTGTTATTGCGGGTTTGGCACCGCTGCGTGTGTTTCCAACCTGATGAGTATGAAGTGTAACTTGGGTTGTAAGAGAGAAATCATCTATTGCTCGTCATTTCACTGACGAAAACGTAATTCGCTTGATCTCCATGCCATAGTTTATTTGTTGTGTTGAAAACAAAGTCCGGTGGACGAAACAAGCTGTTTTTCGATAAATACATCAACTGACCATTGCAACCATAAAGGGTTATTGGGATTTCCGATCTGATTTTGTTCGCATAAAACTAAGTATAGAAAGTATGTTATTGGTTATCTGATCTTCATCTGGACTAGTTCATTGGTACGTCCCACAGGGGTGAGATGGATTTCTTCAACCGAGGCCACGGTAAGGCTACGGCCCGAAAGAACTGCTTTTGGTTGCATAAAAGGGGGATCCAATGTTCGTCTTTGCATAAAATGATAAACCGAGGTTGTTTTGGCTGACTGATAGTGTGCTGTATCTCCAGTACATGTTGACACGGAGCACTTTTCGCCGTCTTAGTTTCACTGTGTCTCAATCAACGGGACTGGTGTTCGCTTATCCTTTTTGATAGCTGCCTTGTATTTCGGCTGATGTACCTCGCTCCACAGGAGCATATGAACGCGTAAAGGCACATCGATGCAACTTAAAGGGGCAGTTTATCTTTGAGGTGTAACTATATTGTAGCGCACGTAGTGAAATTCGTGTGTAGTTCGGCTGTTGTAAACGTTTCACGGAACGCGATCAACACCAGAACGACGAAGCCAAATAACTATATATAATTGGAATGACCAGTTGACGAATTTATCGAAAACAGCTTATTTTGCCTACCGAAATTTGTTTTCAATGTGGCAATGGGCATTTTTCAAGTAGTTGCTGTGTACCATAGAATTTAATTTTCTTTAGAAAAATACACGGAATTACGCATTTCTGGTAACAGATAAAATGTCCACACTGTACATACAAGAAGCTGAAATCAGTATAAAAGTGACCGTACTGGCTTTGTTTGTTTCCAGCACAAGATAATCTTGGTTTGTTGGTAGAATGCGGTTTCCGCGTTTTTAAACCAAAATACTTCTCTAGCCTCTATTAGTCCGAACTTGCACAAGGATAATGAAAAACAAGCTGAAAGTTGGGATTTGGACATGAAACCCAAAGGTTTGTGTCTCAAGAGGAACACGAGGAATGTTGTTGCAGGCAATTAGCGCCAAATACTGTTCACATTTACCAAGAAATAAGCTGGTTAGTGATAACAACAAATGTTTTGCTTAAAGTAAGCCATCACACATATGTCACTTACTTCTCACTCGTCAAATGAATCTCCAGAATGTTGGAGAACAAATGGTGCTTCTGCGTGTGCGTAATGACAGCACCGGGAGTGCCAGGTTGCATACAAGGTGCTTTGTAGAACACCTCAATAAGAACATTTAGGCTTCTGTAGTACGAAGCTTCCGAGGTGATAATTTCGAATAGAGCCTGAAAGTGTGAACAGTAACAGAACAGCATAAATGTACAAATTAATCAAATCAACTCGTCGGTATTTTGAAATGAAAAATAGAAGGACTAAGCTGCCCCAAGTGCTTATTTTGAGGGTTCCCATTGCCATTCACATTTGCCTGATTTTCAGAGCTTCCACCACCGCCAAAAAGCTCTGTTGGTAAACATCTTTGCTCGATAAATTATAAGATCTACAGGGGTATTGCCCAAGGCTTAGACTGACGGTTTTAGTGACTCAAGTAAAATCCAACTGATCATGGGTGTTTACTGCTGTTCATCACCCAAGCCTGTGTAAGGAAAAAATGTCAAAAGCTAGCTCATTTCAACACTACTAGTAAACTCGTCAGCAGTCTTCATGACCTCCATCGATTAATAGCAATCACTTCAGTAAACCTTAGAAATCCTAGGACTTATGACTTGTAGACAATCCAAAACGCTGTGCTTCGGTCGATCTGGTGCTGCGTCATCAGCAAATGTTGAGCAATGGCCGAAGACGCGGNCGATTGAGTCATCTGATTTTGGACCCCATTTGGAATATGTTCCACCACCCGACTGCGTAATTGTCGCTCCGCACCCAATGATAGATCAGATTTGAGTTTGCATACAGATACATCTACCGATGACGCAACACCAGATAGATCGAGGCACAGCTTTTCGGATTATCTACAAATCGCGACTCGCAACATTGCCAAGGTTTGCTGAAGCGATTGCTATTAATCGATGGAGCCTTCCATTGTGTCAACAAAAAGAACGTTAAGCTAGTCTGCCCCTGCCTTGTTGACACAGTTATTGTCCCCCTTCCCCCTTTTAGATTTTTTCTGTTTTAGTGTATTTTGCTTCATTTTGCTGCCATACTCTATATAAGCATTGTATTTTCTGCAGTGTGCACCATGCTCAGATGCAACGAAATCGTTCTGGACATAAATCGTTCAGCAGTGCAATATGGTCTTTTCTTTTGTAACTAATCTCGGGAAAGGCTTGTTTCAGTCTTCATGTTGAACTCCGATGAGAAATAGAAGAAGAAAAATGGTTAAAATTTTTCAGCAACGAAATCAAGCGTTCAGAGGAAATCTCACAATGAACTATTCAGCGGAATGCCACGTGGAGCAGTCAATATGATCAATTATCGAGCAGTTTTCTGCTCATGGAGTACAAGGGAGGTCTGGAAAAATTAATATTACCCCGTACCAAAATAAAGGCTCTCTTCAAATGGTTTCAAGATAAGTTACTGAAAAATGGCTGCCGGGAGAAATACACCGATATGCATAGTGTCCACTGATAAAAAATCTACTCTAATTGAAAACTAAAAAATCAAAGCCCCTTTCCACGATTTACCTTCAGTTGTGATTATCTAGTGAACGATATGTGTAAAATAATAAAGGCAGCTCTTGGTTGCATTTTCCTTACCGCACCACTTTGGGACTTTGTCTTGACAGTGGAAGTTGAAACAGACGCCACAACTCTGCCATACACACAAATCAGCTGTTAGTTTGGTTTGATGTTGTGGTATCACTTACATGGTCAGAACGAGCCGGTCTCTCTCAGATACGAGAACCATTCCGAAATGATTTGTACATTAAATAATGTGACACAATCCCAAAGGTCAACGTGACAAACAAAAGCCGAGGTCATGCATTACAAGCCATGTTACGGCAACGGAACAAATCGTTGACTTTTCATTCACGAAAGTGCATAATTAATGCTTGTAAAAGCTGATCTGAATTACGTAACCAAATTCGAAGATCCTCGTATGTAGCACAAAATTGCTAAGCCATTTCAGTTCATTCTGTATTATACGCACAAAAATGATTGGCGCAATCGTTCGAATTGCCGTGAGACATTTTGAGGAGATGGATTGCCCCGTGACTTCTTGCAAATCCGCTACGTTTGTACAAAAACTGTTGTACAGGTTGCCAAAAAGAGCTAGTACTAACGCCTGTCCAGCTGATGACCCTGTGGATATTGTTTCCACTGAGCCGTGTTGATGAGCTGTTCAAGTTGTAACAAGCGAGATTCTACGGAGATGTAGGTTCGAAATTCATCATTTCATGCGGGGTTAATACAATGCTGAAAAAGAATTAGATTCAGTGGTTGAGTGGAATGATGAAAAGCGATTGGGCCGTTGCGAATTTGAGCTGTTTCAATCGGATTAAGATAAACCCGGCGAATTGTCACAACAACACGAAACAATTTATCCATTTCTAAGTAAGATAGTTCCTATCAGTTTGATATTTTCACCGATTGCTCACACATATTTCATCTCTTTTCTTCATTATTGATCCAATATTCCGCGTGAATGTCGTACTGTATAATAAACGCAATAGATCTTGGATGTCTCACGTGGGTGTGCTAAGCGATCTGTGACGGCGATGTGCATAGAAATCGATTTGCATTATCGATCATCTTCGTAGCGCTGAAAACTATGCAGTAATGGGATAGGCAAATGAAGAACAAGAACAGTCAATCAACTTAATATTCAGAGTAAAACGGACCACAATTCGCAGCTGATCTGGCACCGACCAACCAGTTGCAAAAAGATGAAATATAACTGTCACACAACATCCGTGTCAATGTATCACTTTGGGAACTGCGAAAATATAGAAGTTCTGCAAAAGTGATACCGACCCACTTTGCAGAACAAATAGGTGCAGATTCTTGATAAATTTAAAAATATTGTGATTTGACAGCAAACCAGATTTCTCGGGCGAAACGTTTTCCTAAATTATGGCCACTATTTGTACACGAACACTACACTGCGCTAAGCCCCATCAGGGGCATAGACTGTTTGTATATTGCATGACCTTTGCTTCTTGATGAAATCGGTCAGTTGAAACCGCAGAAGTGGGAGCAAGAGTTGTAAAAGGCCACGGTATGATAAACATAGAATAGAGTCAATAGCATAAATGCTGTTTACCTGCGAATTCGAGAGTCAGTGACAGGAACTGAACCTTAAAAGCAACCCAAGCTGCTTAATTATCACTGCATCACCACTACTTCTACTACTACTACTACTACTATTATCACCACCCCCTCAACTGCATCTATCAGGTGCGGTGATTAGTAAGGTTTTGTACACGACTGATGAATTTTTCGTCTATCGGACAACTAGANGAATACACACCCTTGCGAAAACAGTCTGCCTCTGTAAGCCAGCTCTAATCTGATCTACTAACTCCAGTGTTGATATGGTGCCACAGTTACGTAACCGGGCGGTTGAGCACATTCCAATTGGTTTCCAACGTCGAATGACGCAATCGAGGTCAAGTCAGAAGCATAGAAATGAGAATCGAAACCATAGGACTCAGGCATCAACCATAGCTCGACATCTTCTGGTGACGCTACACCAGATTGACCAAAGCGCAGCGTTTCGAGTTATCTGCAAGTCATGAGTTGCAAGATAGCTAAGGTTTGCGGAAGTGATTGCTATCAACTGATGAAGACTCCAATGAGTGAATCAAACTTTTTGTTTGTCTGTTTTTCTTTGTTGCCCTATAAAACTCCGATCAAAAGTTGTGAATCCTGTAGTATGCACCATGTTCAGGTGCGATGAAATCGACCTGGAAACAAATAGTGCGATATTTCCATATGGTTCTTTCTTTTAAAATAATGAAGATATGTTTTACTTTTCAGCCTAATTTATAAACATGCCTGAACGCATAATCGGCCGGAAAAGTTCCAACAATCAATTTAAATTAAAAAAACCAAGATCAAATACTTTGTATCTTCTTGTTTGCTGTGCATGTCTTAGGGGACTAGGAAGCCAATGCAGTCAGAAACTCAGAAAAAGTAAGAAACTAGGATAGGTACAAGGCGTCGGGTCTTTGACATATATCCGAGTATTCATTAAGAGCTATGTCTAAACGCGAAGCTCCAACGGTTAGCTCAAACTGCAGGTTTTTTGCATATTCCAAACGAACTAGTGTTTTCAGTGATTTCCAGCATAAGCGTTCATCGTGGCGCTGTGCCACTTTTAGCTCGTCACGTTATCGCAAGATGAAAGTTATAGTGGTATTTTGTAGGATTTGTAGTGCCTTGCAAAACTTTATTTTCTTCGTTTTGTTCGATTCTTACTTTTTTTGAATACAATTCCATTTATTCGATTTATTCCGTTATTGGAATATAGTTTTTCTCTGATCCAAATATGTTTAAATACCAATTGGTCTGCTAATGGTAATCTCATTTGAGAAATCCAATTAATCATTACCTCTGAAATACCCTAAAAACTGAGAAAGGTTCTGGTTCATCATGTTTGAGTGATACTGTAGGACGGGATGCATCCACGAAACCTGCTTTCTTTCAAAAAAATAAGTAACGACAATGTATTATTATTTGGGTTCCACGCCAGCAGGAATATCATATCTAATAACTGGGTATTGATAAGGCTATGGAAGTATTCTTAAACTACCAGGAATAAATCTTTCACGCAGCGAGCACACTGATGCAATGATCTCAGATGATCTACAATTAGGAATGTACACATCAGAGAATGCACCATACTCATAGAAACCAGGTGAAGGATAATACTCGATACTTCGGAATGAATAAAAACGAAATTCTACAAATATTATTGCATACCTCTTGCAGTTTCTTTTCCAAGGAAGATAAACCAGTCGATAATCCAGCTGCTATAACCTGTGGCATATTGCACCACATGGCACGATTTGGTCCAGTTCCGGCAATTTCCTGAGCGAATGATTTGGTCTCTAGAGAACAGGATTGAGGATATCGTGGTCTGGTGGGTGAAGAAGGGGTACGATTCAACGACCCGGTACGATCCGGAGAACGAGATCCATCTGAAGATCGAATTCTTGTTCGATTGTCGACAACCGGTGGAGATTTGCGGCTCTCGGAACCTGTAGAGCGTGACGATCCTCGGGTTGATGCATTTCGTTTCCAAATCTCAGCTGCAGCGCCTGCCAATTCTTCTGTATCCCATCTGTGATTGAGATCGGTTGGGATTCCGTGCTTTGGAACTTCCGGGGGGATAGTGTCGGGGTTGTAATTCAGTGTAGGTGGGTCGGGGAATACTGGATCACCGAATTCGCGATCATCGCTATCAATTGGTTCGAACAGGGCGTCGTCGAATTCCAAACTATTTGAACCGGTTGGATGATCACCGGGTGAAACTTTGGCAGATGTTTGTCGAGCATCTTGAGGAAGTGAACAGTGGGATGAGAAAAACAACCATAACAATAACTGAAGTACGTTCGAATATGGTAAATTGTTTGCATCATAAACAGAGCATATTGAGCACCGAATAAGAAAAATGTAAGCTGACAAACTGGAGAATAACGTATCCAGCTGTTTCAGATTTTGACGACTGTTGTTTGCGATGAATGTCTGCCAGTTTTACTCGCATTGAGATTGTGGAACTCACAGGAAGAACGCACGAACAGCAACCAACTCATTTCAGTTATTTACTTGAACAGGATAACCTAGACCAACAACGCGCAATCCCGATTTATCGCTGTTAGCCGGTTCCAGTTATCTCCACTCTAGCCTATCACGGTCATCGGAAAATTCAGGGGAATATCAAGAAATGTGATTTAAAAGGCAACTCCTTGGAAATATGGATAGCCCCAGCACATGCACTTATAATGAACACGAATTTCTTTGATCAAATTAATTGTAGTTAGGGCTAAATGAAGTACAGATTTATGTTGTCTTGACAAAACAAAAGTAATCCGATTAGTTTTACGACACTGTCAGCAGAGTTCATGCAAATATTCTTATGGGTTTTGAAAGGTATATTTAATTATTACGAGTTGTCCGAATACTGATTTTACTTACGAGAACGAAGAAAATTCAAGTATCTGCACAGGATGAATGCCTCCCTTAAATGAACTGCTTGTCTTGGGATGAGCATTCCAAACAAGGTGTGAACGTTTTACCGTAGGTCTTTTTTATTTTCACGCAAAAACCAAAGTTACTCAACGACCAATGAGACTGAGCTTCTTCAGAGGTCAGCAGGGACTAGACCAATCGGGGCACAGTTGAGATAATTGTAATGTCTCTTAGTTGCCTCCGTATCATGTCAGACAGTGAACGTGGGTTTTATTAACTCGGTCCGGTATAGCAGAAACAGGATAGATGTAATTATGCTCTTATTAGTTGAACGCACTTCGATTGATTGCTCGATTTCTGTTATATGGCTTATCTCTAAAGATTATACACATCACGTTTGACCTCACGGTAGCTACGCTTGTGCACGGTTCCAGGCTTTCGACGCAAACCGGAATATAGCGTGCATACTCACGTTGTCAGGTCTTGTGCAAGGCAACGACAACACTCGAAAACATTCGAACATGTTACTAAAACTATGCTTTCGACAAACGTTATCTCAATCTGAAATCGCATTTGCTATGACTTGCAGACAGTTCAATTCACCGAGTAGTTGTCATTTCGAAATAGATCATTAATTTGATGTTAACACCATCACAAACGACCATACCACTGAATCCAATTCCATGCTCTATTTCTTCGTGGTAGAATAATTCTCGATCGAATGAAGATTCTCAGTTCGCAGATATATACCTTTCTTAGTCGCATGGTTATATACGCGATTACCATCAGTTAAAAACCCTAATGTTCTATGGAATTCAACTGTTCTCATCGCACCAACCAAAGTGCCGTAAACTGAGTGTAATCAGGCAGCAAGTCAAAGTGCGAAACCGTAACACAACACAAACTGAATTATCTCTCTTTCACGCCAGATATAACGATGGGTGAACAGAAAAACGATGTCAATATGGCCGGCAGTAATGATGGTCACTGGGAAAATGTCAACAGTCATAGTTTACTGATGGATCTTTTGGTTAAAGACTTACGCGCATTATAATGAATATAACGGACCAAAACATTTCTGAATTTCGATTGCAAAGTGCACAAAGCGACAGAAGCAAACATGGTAGAGCCCGATCCCAATAAAACTCACCATGGCGACGCCGGGCCTCTCGTTTTGTTTCTTTACGTGCAACGCGCTGAGAATAGACTTGGTACAGTGGAGCGTTGGTAAATATGGACTGGTAACGCTGCCGTCGATCGTATTTATTCTCAATATCCTGCATTCAAAAGCGAAAGAAAAGGTATCAGGAGTTGCCAATTTCCGGTTTCCGTGTATTTTCCATCGGGGAGAATGAGTCAACCGTTACTGTTTTACACATTTCATAATACACCTGAATTACTCGAAAGATCCTAACGGTAGTTCAGAGAAGCGGATGTATTGATCGCGAATCCTAAAAGTAGTTAATCTCTTTGAATTCAAGTTTAATTAAACTTATACACTACGCTCATTCTGCCCCCATAGATGACAACTTAATTCGCATTTGTATCATCGTAGGATTACGTATTTTTAGTGCACTATTGCTTGTTGCAAATATATCTGCAGTATTGTGTTATATAATAATAACTATAACTATGGAGGACCCCCAAAGTACATCTCGCAATGTCAGTTTACATTTAAAATAGTCAATCAGTCTTCCTTTTGGCCGCAGTCATCGTTAGAGTTAGTCTGTTTTTCGTGTTAAAACCAATTGTACGATACCGAATTTATGATAGCTGTGCATCTTAGTTCGTGACTACCGATAAGGAAATTTTTTGTATGGACAATAAGTGAACAAGATAAGATTATTTAAACCAGGTTATTTCATTTACTTTTAGATTTATTTCTAGGCTCTGTGCATCTCTTCTGACTAGCATACACTTTCATTCTTGGCAACAGTGATAAAACTGCTCATTCCGTGCGCTTGATATTATAACGAATACAAAACGAGTGTTCCTCTGTTTCGGAAACTCGTGTTTCATTACTTTATGATTTTGATGTAGGATGAGTATACTTTTTCTTCTTTATATTATATATACAGTCACTGTATACAACCACCATGGATAATGTCAGGTGCCTATTCATAATTCGTTTCAATCGGACTGTCGAACTACTAACAAAATGGATGTTGTCACCATATTTTAATGCCATTAATTTTGACGTTATCTTTATTGTATATAAATACTATTATTATTATTGTACTCCTATGCGGTAAATGTCTTTATAAAGGATTGCCCTTTTCCTGTCACGTAGATAAAGTTTGTGCTCTTAATAACTGCTATTTTCTAATTATTTCAACGTACTTTTACTAGTAACTCACATTATCAGCCGGTAATGTTTATGGGGCAAGGAAATGTTAGAGGGTGAACTGTATGGGATCTATGAGATAAACAAATATCCCAGACAGGATTTCCAATCCTGGAAAGCTTCTTTTCCTTCTACTTCTGCTTATTGAATAACATGATGGAACAAGCAGTTTTTAGTAGGAAGGAGGCGGTCAATTAAAAAGCTACCATACAATACATAGAAAATTAGGAAATCTGTTTTGAAGTGGTTTGAATGAAAGACGTCATCTGGAGCGATAAGTCGATACAACTTAGTGCACCATTACCTCTTTTGACTTCTTCTAATCGCCAAAAGAGCGTTATTCCGTAAAAAAATTTGGTCATTCATCTATTTTAGAAGCAAAGGAAACTTATTTGAGGTGTTTATCAAGCAGGTAGATTCTTCAAATAAATAAGTTTATTAGAATAAATTTAACTAAATTTAACATTTTGAAGACCATTTGGGGGCCACTTCCTTAGTTCAGTTCAGTTTATACAACCATCAACCATGCATTATCGTGGGCCGGTTTTGGATACTGTCTTCTGGTCGCCCATTTGAAGGAACTTCCTCAACTGTTTTTGGGCAGTGTACTAATTCAAAATGTGACATCTGGTTGCACGCAACTTCCTTACTCGCCTACGTATCCGGCACTTGGTTCAGTTCACATCCCATGGAATTTTTGGAAATCAAAGAATTAAAAATTCACAGAGATTGTCTCCACCTGTTCGATAAGATTCCATACTCAAAGTTGCTCGATCGACGCATCAGGTATTGATCATATCACGTGTTTACAACTTATCATGTATGAGAGTAAACCGGGAGTACCCATCAAAGTTAGGAAACCAGCAGTACTGGCTACTGTTCTTGACAGAATTTTGAATCAACAACCCATTTAACCGTATGATCCAAAATCGATTTTATGTCTTTGGAGCCTTAATACAGCGAATAATCGCATAACATAACGTTCTGTCGGATATCAAGGATTTTCTTGCAAGTCAGATCACCAGTTGTTTGTTGGCATAGCATAGCAAAAGTTCCTTTGTGTTGAGTACACGCGAATCACATTGGAATTTCATATAGGTAATCGGCTGGACTTTGAATGAGAATGAACGTTTAGTATCATGTGGAATTCAGTGCACGTGACTCGTAGACCATTGTGAGTACTGACAAAAGACAAGGTACATTTACTGAAAACTCTTTAGGTAAACAGATACTAATTGATTATGCATGTCTCTTAACGTGAGTGATATCTGATAGATTCCAGTAGATAAAATCAATATATTACGTTCGTGTTTATGGTTTAGCAATTGAACAGTCTCTGTGATTCGCTCAATCAAACAGAACAGCTAATGGGGAGATAAATTTGTCCTTTTTGGGTTTCATCAAAAAGACAATGACATTTTTATCCATTTTTTGGTCTCTATTTACCTGAAGTCACACGGAAGAAAACCGTCACCTAGTCCATTTACTTTAACGTCCCTCATGGTTTTAAAATTTGATTAGAACCACACTTGACTATCACTGCTGGTGTCATTGATGATTTTATATTCAATGAATGAACACACGTGTCGATTTCTATTCCAATGTTGATGACTGTATGGGATCTACCGAGTTTTACAAGTGAATGCGGAAATTCAGTTCCAGTTCATCTGCTTGTCGGTACTGTGCTTAACATATCTTCAATTTCTGATACCATATCTGAGTGGAAAATTAAAAATCATGCATCTGGTGAATTTTTCCCCATTACTGCGTTGTGATCATCATTAACGATTTGCGTCACTGTTCATCGGAATGTGCCATGCTGGTCGTCGGATATGAATCAAACTGATACCAGACATAAATGATCCGAGTTATGTCCAAGTAAAATTTGCTGTTTATTAACTACTATTTCACCACTATTTGATAGAAACTATTTTCAAATATTAGATACTAAGATACTTACTCGTTAACCGAACAAACAATTTTTCATCAAAATATTCTTTGTGTCATCATAGTGGTAGAATTAAACTTTCGGAGGTTTCCAGTGCAGCAAATGCAAAAAATGAGATCAACGGATAAATGTATCATTTTTGATTCCTCAAAAGGATTCATTTTATTTTATACAAACCCAGAGGCGTAAAGTAAAATGTATTTGATTATTGTGCAATCGTTTACATTTTGTTTGGCCGCGTTTATGTCTGTGAACCCATCAACACAATTGAGGATCAAACCTGTGAACGGGTATTTGGAATGCAAACATACTCCTGGCATAACCATCGGGCGGTTGATCAGCCTCATTTATCGAACTATTGACTTGCTTGAATGCTGTATGCGACGAAATTCCACATCAAACATAAACGTCTAGGTCTCTGTTATCGGTTACAGATATGATACGAGACATTTTTCACTTCGTAGAAAGGATTCAAAACCCCTTGGCAACAGACGTGTCAGCTGGGGAAACTATCAATCACATGCGAATTTATTCAAGAGAACAACGTTAATGTGGGCTGGACTGCAAATATCGTTATGCAACCGTAATGACCAATTTCAAATCAATGATATAGCCAAAAAGATGAGAGTGCAATGCAGTCATCTCTAGATCTATCAGTCGCTGACACCTTTATGGCCAAACTCGTGTGCAATGTAGTTCCGATTGAAGGGAAGAGTGACCCTTTCTGCATTCTTATTTGTGTTCTTATACTCATTCACCTATTCGTGTTGGACTGCGTAGATTGGCCTTGCGGTCAAGTGTTTTATCCCATCATGGTCACATGAGCACTACGTGGCTTAGCTGAGGGCAAGGGAAATCAAGACAATTATGAGCACGGTAAGTTTAGTTGAATCACTGATTGGAGGTGGAAGGCGTGTTTTGACCTATTTGAAAGGTTTGATGTCGTCAATCAAGAACAGCGAAGCATTGTACCATAGCCAAGGCAGAGGAGGTAAGCTTTTGGATCCACAATCGCCCAGAGTGCCCGAGGATATTCATGCAAGCACTGAAGCTCCCCTAACCCACTTCATCCACCCCGACACGTGAGAAACCACTTGAACTTTTGACACCGTGATATGTAGGTCGCAAGAACACTTGTACACACATCTGAATCATTAGAGGTGGGATTTGTTATCTCTTCTTGTCCTTGTTTTTAGTCATTTTTAGTGTTATAATGACGTGATTAAGACTGAAAACGAGCTTGTTCGCCACGCTGTTGTTTGTCTGAATGCGTTTCATGGGACTATTCAAACGTATATCTGTTACTCCTTTAAACTTCATTTGCGTTCTTCTCTCCTCCGATAGATATCCTCGGTTGATTCTCTGTGAGTCCCATTTATGCTAATATGAAATCTCTCTAAATGCACTGCATACTCGATGAAAATCAGCCTGGTTTGAATGACCTCTAGTGCATCTATTGGCGGTGGTGGCCAAATGGGTAGACCACCAACTTGTGGCCCGGGAGTCTCGGGTTCGAACCGCTCCACCGTCACCCGTCTTTCCAGGCAGCGTTTGTATGACTGCGACCCCCCTTCCTGAATGTTGATTGTATAATTGTATATTCAATAATTAAAAAAGAAAGTAAAATGGTATTTATTTATTATCCATTGGAACTGTTCACAGTAGCTGTACACGATAACCAAAGACTTCGTGAATATAGTACATATGTAAAGTGTGAACTTCTGTATACCACAGAACATAGTTCACCAGGCACCGACTGAACTGAAATGTATCTTGTCTATGTTTACCCGGAAAGCAATTAAAAGGTAATAAATGAAGTGCCTAGGGTTGCAATGTGGCTGTTACTTGGGCTTCGTTTAATGTTTTGGTAAATTTGATTTCAGCGTAATGAATGGTGTTGAGCGCTCTGTGCGCTCAGTTTTTCCAATCTCCATATTAGTCTGTGTCGGGTGTATCTCACTTATTTTGAGGGCGCACAGAGGCTT